ATAATGTAATAAAATAACAAATAATAATTCAATTAAAATATAATTTATTAATGTGATAAAAATTGTTTTAACATAAATATGTTATATAGTGTAGTTGTTATGTTGGAGGAGGTGACAAAAACTAAAAGCAAAACAAATCATCTATGATCGATAGAAGTACTCTTTTAAATTATAGTAATTTTTGTTACTTTTAAGCTGAATGTATTGATTTTTATTGAAACCTGATTGCACTATTTTACTGAGATTTAAACGCTCTTTTAGATGTTGGTCATATCGTTGTGATAAATTTACATTTTAGAAATATTACTATTATACATTATGTAAATGCATACAAAATAATTTAAATTGAATAAAATAAACGTATGGATGATATTGTATACTAAAAATGTGCTCATGTTAATCTTGAAGAGATCTAACTGTATCGAAAGGTCAACTCGATCGATCAAAAGCCATCCAACCATCCAAAGGGCTATCGACCAACTACAGGGCTGTCGAAGGGTTTCCAGCTGACTGAAGGCATGCCAGGCGACTGAAGATCTGTCAAACGAACGAAGGCTAGCCAGACGACCGAAGGCAAACGCCTGACGACCGAAGGCAAGCCTAGCCGACTAAAGGACTGCCGAGTTGCAGGTTTCGCTTGCAAAAAGATCATTACACCCTATACAACTCCTCTCAACCAGGGGCATAAATGTAATTTTTATGTACATTCCTCTAGTCATAAATTAGGGTCTCTTGACTCTTATAACCTCTATTTTCAATGATATAAAAATGGTCATAAGAACCTGGGAACACGTTATTTTTCCTTGGAGGGGCAAGTCCCGACACACTCTTTATCTTCTCTCTCTTCTATCTACGCTCTATTCTTTGGGTATGATTTTTAGTACGAATTCAGATTCAATATCCTGAAAAGTACAGTGAGAGTGGATTATTCCACAAACAAGAAGAGAATTAACATAAGGAGATGAATCTATGATTAAGTTTTGTTGGGTTAGGTCCTAACCGATGCAATTGAAACGACTAGAAGGCTAGACGACCGAAGGCCTGCCAGCTAACTGAAGGGCTGCCAATCGACCGATGGGAAGTCAGTTGGTCGAAGGGTTGCCGATCGACCGAAGGCCAACCCGGACGACAGAAGGCCAGCCCGGACGACCGAAGGCCTGCTTAGGTTATTGAAGGTTTACCGAGAGGTAGGCTCTAAAATATAAAAGGACCAGAATATCCTATACAACCCCCTCGGTAAGTAGGGGCATAAATGTAAATTTTATGTGCGATCCTTCTATCCTCTATAAATAGGAGGGAAGGTTTTTTCATGTATTAGGGGCTCTGAAACTCCTCTCTTATAACCTTTACTTTTAATGATATAAAAAGGGTCTTAAAAGCAAGGGAACACCCCAGTTTGCCTCACAAGGGCTAGTTGCGGTGCACTCCTCTCCCCTTTCTTTCCCTCTCTCTCACTTGTTTTATGCTGTATTTCTTCGGTGTGATTCACGGGATAAATTTGGTTTCAACAAATATGAACTGCATAGATTGATTGCATGTTTGAGCTTGGCTATGGTAGAGTTCACCTTTTTATGGTTCTAGTGGGGGAATGCTAAGGTACTCATACATATAAATGAAAGAGTATATTACAAATTTTAAGACAATGTTCTTGTGACGGTTGTATATACATTAAAAAGATATTGATATATAATTGATATTGTAATAGTGAATGTTTATTATTACATTGAATAATCATATTAGATAGTACAACCCTTCACTTACTCTTAGATCGATTTACATAAAGTTTAATTGTCATGCATATTGTCTTATTTTCATTATGTTACTATAATTTAGGTGTATGAGTATTTACTGCTATGATTAGCTCACTATTATTTTAAGCTAACTATTTTAGGTTTATTTAATTGATTTGAAAGATGAGCTATAAAAGAAAAAATATTTATAGAAAACGCGAACAACCAGAAATGAGATAAATTTAATTTTATCATATTGATTTATTGTTTATTTAGTAGCTCTTTCATCTATCAAAATCTTGGTTATAAAAAATAATTAGAAAATTTTTTGTGAGGAAAATTGTAACATTCCGTTAATATTAATTGGGGGAGAGGAAATGAGGGAACCAAAGGAAAAGAGGAAAAGGAATCGAGTAGTCAGGAAGCTGGAGAGGAGAAAGATGAAGCGAGAAGTCCGGAAATTGAAATAAGGGGATCAATAGCCTATACGACGACTTCTCTTATAAAAGGACACGAAAGAGGCGAGAATTACTTACTACGAGATTTGAGAGTGCGAGAGGTTGAGCACAAGCCAGAGCTTCCCTGTAGCTGAAGGAGGAGAAGAGCGACAACGATGTCGGTGTCGAGCAGTGAAGAAAGATTTGAAGTCCCCATCGAGCCACCGAAGAGGAAGGCATTGCAAAATATGTTTCGTTTTATTAGGGAGCTCTCATGTGCGAGATTCGATCAGAGGTGTTCTCGTGCGAGGAAGGCTTTTGATCCATATTTCTTGCACATAGAAAGGGTGAAGATGTAGTTTTGCGGGGGCTAGGGCTTTACCGAGGCTTGCCGTTCGGTTCAAATGAATTAGGGCGAGCGGGTACGGTAAGATACCTAATTTATTTAGTTATTATATTTAATTAAATTGAAAATTCAGAAAGTTTATATTAAATTGATTTTAATTTTATTCTCAATTGTTTAAAGGTAATCAGTGAAAAGGCAAAAACAGGAAAAAGAGAATTGTGCTGCAGGAAGGAATTCAGCTATGAAGCTTAATTTAAATGTGTAATTTTTCTCTATATGAAACTTGGTTTACAAGCCATTTTAAAGATTGATGAGTTAAGCATGTTAAAAAGTTTAAGAAAATAAATTATGGCATAATATATAGTAATACAAATATATGAGGCAGCGTAATGTTAAAATAAAAAAATTGGCTAAATTAATTGGTTATGCGTTTTGTTAAAAACTAAAAGAAATTGAATGACTATATAGGTTTATGTTTATGTAAATAAGAATAATAAATTAATTAATTTATTATGGATAACAATGTTTATGATATGTTTCGAATTTTAGAAGAATCCATATCAAATAATAAAAAAAAAATAATCATCATTGAGATGAGTTCTCATATTCTTAAACAATGACGAACTAATGCTTGCCGTTCGGTTCAAATAAATTAGGGCGAGAGGGTAAGGTAAAATACTTAATTTTTTGAGTTATTATATTTAATTAAATTGAAATTCAAAAAGTTTATATTAAGTTGATTTTAATTTAATTATCAATTGTAAAAATGTAATCAGTGAAAAGGCAAAAACTCGAAAAAGAGAATTGTGCTGCAGGAAGGAATTCAGCTATGAAGCTTAATTTACATGTTTAATTTTTCTCTATATGAAATTAGGTTTACAAGCCAATTTAAAGTTTTCTTAGTTAAGCATGTTAAAAAGTTTAAGAAAATAAATTATGGTATAATATATAGTAATACAAATATATGAGGTAACTTAATATTAAAAAAAAATTGGCTAAATTAACTGGTTATACGTTTTATTAAGAACTAAAAGAAATTGGATGACTATATAGGTATAGGTTTATATAATTAAAAATAATAAATTAATTAATTTATTATGGATAACCATGTTTATGTTATGTTTCAAATTTTAGAAGAATCGATGTCAAATCAAATCAAATAACAAATTATTCGTTTCAAATTTTAGAAGAATCGATGTCAAATCAAATAACAAATTATTTGTTATCGAGATGAGTACTCATATTCTTAAACGATGATAATACTTATTTTTTTAGCCCAAACACGCTTACTAGTAGTATCATTTGTTATATTGAAATGACTGCAAACTCTGAATTTTAAATTCTAGTAAATTTTTGTTCGTGTTGTAGGAATGATATGTGTGAACAATATTATTTAAATTATCATAAATAATGAATTATTTATAAGCATATTGATTGATATGCAAATGAGAAATAAATCTTTTAATTAAATAGTGATATTTTTATCTGATGCTTCTATATGCATGATTGACTATGATGGAGTTAACCCTTGATGGCACTAGTGGGGGAACACTAAGATATTCATGCACTTAAATGAAAAAGAATATTGACATTGAATTATCTTAAGTGGTATAATTTTTAGACGATGCTCATGCGACAGTTGTACATATATAAAATGATATTGATTTGCTATTGATATAGTAAGATTCATTGAATATCATCTCAAATATTTATATTGATTTTTTAAAGGCTTAATAGAAATGCATATTTTTTTTCTTTGTTTTATTGTAATTTAGAGATATGAGAATTCACTGGCTTGTTTAGCTTACTATTATTTCAAATTAACTTTTCTGATTAATTTAATTGGAGTTGATTTTACAAGAAATTGATTTTTAATGAAGTTGATTTAGTCGATGGTGATGATTTTATGAGAGATCAAAACTGAAATACTAGGCAGGAGATCAAAAAGTAGATGGCAGCAGGATGTGTATATTCTGAGATTTGGAAAACTTATACTTACATTCCCTCCATTCTCCCTAATGTCCTCTCTAGCTCTTTGAGGAACTTATAATAACAATGCGGAGGACATAGGGGATAAGTCAAACGGAAATGATATTTCTAACATTTTCTTCTCAATTTATGACTGTGTTAATGGAATGATCTACATAAAATGATTTTGATATTGGTAACCAGGGTGGATTGTCTTTTAAAAAGTGAAGTAACACGAAACGCCTCATATATGTCAGGACCTATCTGTTAGTTCTCTTGTATACTAAAATAATCTGTCATCTTTGGAATTATGCACGTGACTACAACTTACATTGCATACAAGCATGGTTATCTTTCTATTTCTGTCTCTCTTATTTTGGTTTATTTGATAAAGCATGGGTTAATGGGACATAATTATTCAGCTTATTTCATGAAGCATGGTAAATTAATAGAAAAATTTTGTTCAGCCTTTCCTGAAAATTGAGACATTGATGTGAATTCAGATGTTTAATTTTGTAGGTCTGTGAAGAGATCATATTTAAGCTGGTTGGATGGAAGCTTGAAGATGTCGAGATTAAAGAGATAAAACCATGGGTGATGCATGCTGAAGTTGCAGAGAAATATGTTTCATGCAATGACAAAGTAATACTTGTGGGTGATGCTGCTCACCGCTTCCCACCAGCTGGTGGTTTTGGTTGGTTATACATTTTTTTTCTAGCTATTTAATTCACCTATTTGGCTTTAGCTAGGTATTACCTAATCTTTTTTCTCAATGAATGATGCTTAATTTGACCCAATTTATTGTGAATTGCCTTATTTATAGATTACTCTGCCTGGGGCAGTTTAAAAGAAATTTTTTTGGTAGGAGAACACTAAGGAATGTTTATTATGAAGTCATTCTAAATTCAAATGATGTAGGAATACTATAGAAGTATATCAAGGATCTTAAATAGTTAGGCATGGACCTCTTCATGCGTAAACATAGCAAATTGGTTAGGTTTAAGATCTTCGTGACATACTTGATGCTGCTTACTAGAATGAGCTCAACTTTTGAACTCCATGTAAACTCGTTTTGTGAATATCAAATGTTTGGTTGTGATTGGGGCATCATTTACCATTATTATTCTTCCATACACATTTCTAACTTCTTGGCTTCTTTTATACTCCATAATATGGGCATTGGTCAATGATCAGGCTCTTTATCTTGAAACTCTTGGAAGCTTTGTTTTATTATACTGATTTTTTTTTCTACATTTCATTTGTCATTATCTATTCCCTTGGTGTTACTTTAAGTGGAACTAATTTGTTTTTTATGACCAGTTAAGTATGCTTGTGCCCTAAGTGCATGAAATTATGTTTAACTCGAGTAGGAAAGAAATATTGGAAAATATTACAATATCATTCAATAAAGAAGAAATGATATAAATAATAAGTATCTCTTACTTCTAATGAATAGCTTCTAATCCACTATCTACTCAATGATGAAGATTAGATTTTTGGGACACTAAAACTTAAAAAAGAAGGCATGGGTGTTAAAATTTTGTTGTGTTTGTGATGACCCAACCAAGGGTTTAGAATTTTTAAGGTGAAAAACGAACGATCATATTGTTAAATTAAAAAATTTCATTTTAATTTTCCATCACCAACAATTTACAATCCAAATAAGCTGAAAGAGTCATTAATGAAAGTACTTTAATTTAACCAATGATAAATTCACTTTTCTGTTTGCTGTTCTCTCCTTTTATACATATTTTTTCTACTAGTACTACTCTTCTATTCAAAAGTTTAAATTGGAAAATATTCAAACATAATAAGTTATCCACAATAACTCAACGGAGTATTTATGCTTCTAAACTATAGTACCCAATGAAAAGAAGACAATATGTATGCTGATTTCTTTTCTATTATGTTATAGAAAGTAATATACTAGTCTATATCATGTATTCATGATAGTTTCTCATGGAAGAAATATTAAATTTTTAAATCATTAACTTTCACTTTATTTTTCATGATGCAATCTTTTAATTTTTATTGCATTTTTAATCTTAATCGTATATCCGTCTGGAGCACCATTTAAATAAAACCTAACACGCCCCTAACCAATACATTCCCATCATGCAAAATATGTCTAATATTGTCTGAGATAGAAAATTTCTTACACATCTGCCACAACCCGACCCGGGCTTGGAATTAAGCAAGACGGGGAATAGACAGTTGGACGGTGAAAATTAATCTTCTGTTATTCTATTTTCATCACTAACAATTTAATATTTAAATATATATGAAAAACCACTAAAGAAAATAATTAAATTAACAAGTAGAAATGTATATCTTTTTGGTTGGTGTTCTCGCCTCATGTACACATTTGATCCTTTTTAGTTCATCTTGTTAAATTGTTTCGTATCTAAAAATAATATTAAAGCAACATAATGAGTTATTTAAAGGTAATAAAAGAGTAATCACTCCTAAATTATAGTAAGGAAAAAATTCAATATGCATGCTTATCTTTCATATCTTTGTAAGAAATATTGAAACATGTTAATATTTTATATTTTTTATAAGAAATCTTATATATGCTATTTCATACATCAATAACATTTTCTAAATACAAATATTCAATCTTCTATATTCATTTACTTTATCTTTACTTTATACTCTTTAGATGCACATTTTTTTTTGTTAGGATCACCGTCAACATAACCTAAATCATCCTTGGTCGATATTATCGTTGGCACAATGATTAGCGATGTAAACATCGCAATTGTCTAGGTTGGAAAGACATTTACCTGCCTCCTGACCGATAATATCCCGTCGGTACAGCGGTTAGCAATGTAAACATCACGTTCGTTTAGGGAGGTAAACTCTGGTCTACTCTCCCCTGACCGATACTATCTCGTCCGCACAACGGTTAGTGATTTAATCATCACAATTGTATAGGATTGTAGAAAAACTATACGCATGCGAGCACACTAGGGTCCCCTGCCTGTATCATTTCTGGGTTATTTTGGGATTATTGAAAATAACCCAGAAATAACCTGAAAATAACCCAGGAATAACTTCCGCCACACCTAGAGCTACGTTAGGAGTCCGTACAGAAAATGCGCTCGATATCTTTAACCCCTGATTGATATTCTCCTAAAGAAAACAAATCGTGATCTAAATTTTACGATTGTCTCAGGTAGGAAAATATCTATGAGTTCGGGTACATTGTCGTCCAAAGCCAGCATCATAAGGGGTAAACTCATTGTCTTAGCATGCACATACTAGCATTCATGTATGTAGTATTTTGATTTCATTTTTAATTGAAATCATTAGTTTCTTGTGAGACAGCTTGTATTTATGTACCAATGAATAAATGTATTTTTATTAGAATCTAAATGTCATGATATAATCTAATATCTTTTTAGGTAAATTATTATGCCATGTTTTATGTTGTAGTGTTAATAGCATGTTTCATGCCTAATAATATGAAGAATTAACTATTATTTAAATCTCATTTGTAGAGAGTTTTATGATACAAGAGTTAACCCCAAACCTCAATAAAGAAAATAAATATTATTATTGAAAACAAATAAAAGGTTATAATCAAACACACTTGAAAGTGAAATTACAACAAAAATGACAAACTCACTCGGGCTCAATCCATGAGTGGAGGTTGGCTAGGTGTTTGGAGAGCGGAGGCAGGTAGTTGAAATGGGTATTGGTTGTTGGGATAACAAAAGGAGGGGCTAGAATTGCATTTGAAATGGGTATTGGTTGTCGGGATAACAAAAGGAGGGGCTAGAATTGCATCAACAGTGAAGCGGAGGGCTTGGACACCGAGGATCAGCGTAGAGGAAGGGTTGGACTGGAGGACAATAAGGGGTGGTTGTCCGGGGCGGTGGCAGCGAGAAAGATGGGCTAAAATTGACAAGTTGTAGTGGAAAACAACAAACTAGTGTTGCTTGGGGGCTACTGTAGCGGTGGAGGGCAGCTGAGAGCGTAGTGGGGAAGATTTGAAAAGTGATATTTAAGATATTCATCTCCTCGGGAGAGAGATACAGCTGGCAAATCACCTAATCCCTCAGATACAAGGCCTCGAGGGGAAAAAAAGGGATGTCTGCGATTGTCATAAACAAAGCACATGAAAATTTAATTTTAAAATCCTAATACAACACATACATAGGAAATGACTAAAAAAGAATTAATGATAATAGGAAAAAAAGCAAAAAAAAAAATTGCGATTGACCAGCATTTCCCCTTGTCTTCTGTGCTTACAGAAGTCGCGTGGCTCGTGCTTGTGTTCGACGCACAGTGCTCCCACATCAGTTTTCCGTGAATGGTACATATTTTGCATTAAAATAAAATGAAACGGCCCAAGCCTCAGAAAAGAGCAAAAATGACTAACCAAAAGAAGAGATATCCTCCCTCAGAATGGACAAAAAAGAGGGTGGATACTCCTCACTGACCCACCCATTAAAAAGGGGCATCTAAAGCTTGCTTGACAGAACATGGGCAGCTATGTTGAACTCCCTCTAAGTATGACAAAAAATAATTGTTTAAACCGTTTAAAAAAGCTTGGTCATCACCTGCATCAATTTTTGGGGGTTGGGGGAGTTTTGATATTATACGTCGAAGCTTCTGTTTGCGCATTGTTGATTATTGAGTTGTCAACTTCTGGTACTGAAGGCTTTTCAGCTGCAGCTCTAGAATCTTTTGGATCGCACTGACGACTGCTGTATCTCCCAAAACCCTTGAGGAGTTTTCATCATTTGTGAGCAACGATCAATATCAACCCAATATTTTTGGAGCTTACAACCAGACTGAACTAGGTCTGCGCGTCACATATATACTGTTGGATTCCTCAAAAGCAACCCAAGGTTGGTTCAACCCTATTTGAGGTGAGGAGAATTTGAATCTTTTTGATTGTTTCATCTAGATCTTGAAACTCTCTTTGTACTGGTTGTCCTCTGTTTGCTAATGACTCTTCTCTCTTGCAGTCCTCCATCATCACTAAGATTTATTCTCCCGTTGCTTCTATTCTTGCGAAGGCACATATAATCTAGAACTTTGTAGAAGGTAGAAGGATTATGCGCTTGTCATCTTTGGTCAATGGAGTAGACGTTCTTGTACCCATCATGTTGAGTCTTGCGATCATGCTGTCATGTTTTCTCAGCAAAAATGTCATGCATCTATGGGCATTGCATTGTATCAAAACTAATCTTGCTGCTAGTTCCCAATTGAAAACTCCATGAAAAACAGATTAATGTTGTTTCTGTATTTTATATTCAATCATATCAAGGAATATGGCTGGACATGTCTCTGCATCCTTATGCTCAACTTGTTCACCATCATTGTTGTCGCCACATTCTTGTCGTTGCTCCATCAATAATGATGCTACATACCTTTCCTTTCACAAAGTAACAAGTGTATACTATATTGTGGCATAGCCATTGTTGCTATCTTGGAGCCTTAATCTAAAAGACTCATTGAACCACAAGCGTCACACCCTCATTTGGTGGAAGCTGTACTCTCTTTTTTCTTTTATTGCTCCTCGTCGCTAACTTCCTCTGCCCCCTACTCGGTGAAAGTCATAACTCGGCTCATCGGGCGATTGAGAGTGATCTGTCCAAAAATCATGACACATGAAACATTTCTTGGTTGGGATTGTAGTGTGTGTGCTATCTTTCTTAAGCTTCTTCTCACTCGAAGTGG